AACTGAGCAGACCACGGAGTCATTAAAATTAATCAGACTCACAATCATCCAAATATCATATTTGGCTTTTGATATGATGTTTAACTTTCACGACTTTATCCAAAGCACACAGAAGTGTACTTCAAACTAGATTAGAGTAATGGCAACCGCAGAAAGAAACGCCTAGATGGAATTTCTGAATTGTGAACAAGTGCTGGCTGTCAGTTTGGTTTGCCAGCACGGTCCTGATAAACACAGAGGACAACAGCAGCTTTAAGTTTCTTCAGCTGTCACCAAGATTATAGTTCTGCGCCCCTATAAGTGAACTGCTGTGCAGTATTTCAAGTCTGACAAAATAATCCCAACCAGATTGTGGGAAATGAGCCCAAAAAGCAAGCATTTTATGGTCCAGCGTGCTTCACTCAACTTACAGGGTTTTGAAATGGAGCCAAAACCTGTAATCCCAAAATGATGCCAGGTTCCCAAACCTCTGTACAATTAATGAGCAACTTGTGATTCCATGGGACTTTGTTTACAAGCCCAAGTCTGCTTGTAATTATGCAACGTGAATATAAACAAGTCCACAAATTTCGGAAAAAGTCTACTTGGCCTATTCATTTTGGTAATGACCAAAGCGAACATGGAAGCGTGTGCTCTAAAAACAAGACAGAAAACAAGAAAAATCGATTGAATGAAACGTGCAAACACTCTGCATAAGAGGCAAATGTTAATGCTGTTAAAGTTTTTTTCTTTCTTTTCTTTTTTTAATTGACTCTTAAGATTCATATCAGCACACTGACAGCGATCCAAGCAACTCTGTGGACAAACTGTCTGTCTCTGTTTGTTTAATTGGCTGTTTAGGAGGAATTTTAACCAAATTCCAGTTGGAATTTGTCTAAATTGAATTGTGGCCAGGCTGCAGAGGGCAGAGCAGCTGCAATGGTACAGTCAACAGACGGACCAAGGGAGAGTGAAGGAAAATGGTTTGGCTCTGGAGCCTTTTCAACAAGCTCAAACAGGAAGTCATTCAACACAAAACGCACACCCATGACAAAACAACCACGCGTGCACACAGAGCACGTGCGCTTGTGTGTGTGCGGACAAGCCCGATCGCAGACGAAAGAGGGTCAGTTTGGAACACATTCCTTCCTCCCCCGAGCATGAGTCAGTATTTGTGTGTGTGTCATTTGATGTGCCTACAGCAGACTTCCTAAAGGCCATTCAGAAACAGAGCTAAAGAAATCTAAAAACAATAAAAGTGGAAGAGAATACAGCAGCTGAATGGGTGACGTGTGTGAAATACAAGAGAGATGAATTAACGGAGGAAAGAAAGAGAGAGAGGCTGAAGCTTGAAGGGATGGTGAGGGAAGAACAGGATAAAAATCAGAGACATGTTGGGGAGGGACAAAGTAATGAGAAAGAGAGGAAAAGAGGGGGGTCGAATGAGGGTTTTTCATATAAACAAACTGTACCGCCCTCAGGCACTTTCTGTATGTGTGTGTGTTTCCTAATGCTTATCTCAGTTTGCTAAGTACTTAAAGGAATACACCAAGTCTGTGACACAGCTGGCTTAAAACTTTGGCGAACATCACAATGAGAAGAGAAAAATCACATTCAATATTCTTAAATATCGCAGTTAATAAATGACAAGCAACCACCAATAGTTACAAAACTACTGGCTCGCTATTATTTTGGATTCACGCTCAATTCAAAGCAGATGACGTCCAGTTTAAACACACCTCTGAGGCTTTAAATCTGGAAAGCTGCATCGTTCTGTTTCTGTGTCGGAAAAGCAAAAAAAAAAAACAACTTTTAAATCAAACACAATCAAATCAAAGCCGCACGCCTACATTTTCTTGTTTCCATTCCTAAACTTTGAAATATATTAATTATCTGACTGAAATGATTTTTATATTAGTACAATCAGGATGACTCTGTGTGTTGGGTGGGTCATTTTTGCCTGATTAAATGTTCAAAGACGCTGTGACAAAAGACTTTAAAGCCTTTTTGTTATTCCCCAGTAAAGATGAGGGCGGCTCTTTGTGCGAAAACAAAACATAACAAAAGAAAAAAAGAAGGGAAAATAATTCAACAAAAATACTGATATTTCAAACATTAATTGAAATTAAAATTTCTTCATTTTTAAAAAAAAGTGTAACCACAGGAAAACTTTGGGGCAACTGCGCCCCGAAGACCTTACTAATCGGAAGGTCGGTGGTTCATTTCCCGGCTCCTCCGGCGTCTGCATGTTGAAGTGTCCCGGGGCAAGTTAATGAACCTCAAATTGCCCCATTGAATCCTTCAGAGTGTGTGTGTTAGGAAGTACTTAAAGGCATAGAGTACAGCGCAGTGGGAATGGGCTTTGAGCGGTCGGTCAGTGCAGGATTCTGCAGACCTCAGCTGGGCTGCCATGTTCTTTTTAGAGAGAATAAGCTTTCTCCTGGCAACCCTTCCAAACAAAACACACTTCTTCAGTCTTTTTCTAATTGTACTGTAGTGAGCTTTGAACATTTGTAATGCTAACTGAGGCCTGTAGACTCTGAGATGTAACAGAGTTTCTGCATTGCACTGCACAGTCTGACCTTGGGGTGAATTTGCTGGGATGTAGTTTCCTGTGGAGACTGTGTTACCCTTAACGCACACCTAAATGCTCCAGATCACTAAACTGCCAAAGCATCTGCTTTTATTCAAATGAAAATACCACTCCACTAACCATTTTGTCATTTACTAGTCCAAATATGCAAAATGTGCTTCTTCTTGAAGAGTTTCTTGCAATGGATAAATAAAACTCATCTTATCTTACGTCTGAGACAAATAAAGGCATCAATTTGGAGACAACTGAAAGAAAATGAATGCTGACTAACGGCTTTAAAACTGGTAACCTTCGTTTTTCCAGCTGTTTATTCTCTAAAACATTAGCAAACGGGCGTGTGTGTTATCTGTCCACTCAAGATGCCCATTTTGTCCCACTCGTACGGCAACGATGCCCAATGTACAATAACAGGCAGCTTCAAATCCTGCCATCGTAAAGCTGACACCAGATAATGTTTATATGTTGATTTTGGTGAAATAACTTGCTATAAAACGGCTGTTTGCTTTAGCCCTATATTAAAACGAGAGGAAGGTGCAGCAGCGCAAAACACACACTAACTCTTCGTGTTGTGTTAGAGAACGAACGGAAATCAAAGGGAGTAAGTTCAACAGCAGTTTGTCAGCCTTGAAGTTATTGCTGAAAGAATGCGGAGCTGAAAATATGCACAAAAAATACCAAACTTTTACTTGCTTTAACGCAGCATTTATCGTGCTGTGTGGAAAGGGAGGAAACTGAGATGCTCGTTGACTCTCTGCTGGCTAATTAGAAGCATCTTTTTCACTCACAGTCTGACTGTGCGAAAGAAGCCGACCCGTGCTCCTGAATAAAAGCACCGAGTCTCTCGCTTTCTTTAAATATTAATTCAGTCTGTTTCATGTCTAAGAACCTTTCTGGACACCGACTAGCCGGAGGCTTTAATCTCCAAACTCTCAACCAGTCTCACTTCGCGATGCTGATTTTAATCCTCAGAGCAAACGTGCAGAGCGCTCCTCTGCACGTTTTAGTAGCAACAGGCCCTCTTGCGTCGCCGTAACTCACTTGTTGACAGGGGAGGGAAAAAAAAAGGCAAACAGAGAGGAGCGAGAGACAGACAAGGGCACGCACATATTTTTAAGTGTTCACACACTTAATAAGCGGCATAACCATTTCCTGGGAATTCCCTTTGAGAGACAGAGAAACAGAAAGCTAGTGTGTGAGAGAAGGGAAGGAAATCAAAGGGAGTTCAATGAGTTGCGTGACGAGACACTTTCCATGAAGGCCTGAAACATACACACACCATTTTATTGTGATGACATGTCGGGCTGTGTTGCTTATAAGTTGTCTTACTTTCAAACACTCTTGTGGTTCTTTTTTTTTTCGCCCTGTTAAATTGCACTTGGCTGAAAGTTTCCCTGCGTCTTGTGTGTCAACACAACTGCACCAT